CTCATACCAGGCCTCTGATACCAAGGTTTATATCTCAGGGCCTCCTCTTACTACATTAAATTTCATGAGACCTAGTTTTAGATTATAATACAATATTTGATACTATCACATCCACTGCATTCCCTTTATCTGCTAGTTTTTTTTAATTATAGCAACCAGCTAAAAAGGCTATTGTATTTGTCTAGAAAGATTTGTTTAGCTACTCTTCAAGTGGTTCTCTTTTAATATTTGGTTTATTTTTTATTAAGGATAGAAGTTAAATGTTAGCCTTGCTCTTCTGTTGTCTTCACTATGCAAAAGTTAGTTTAAATAATTAAACATGTATATTGGGTTAAGGAGTGTGAATGTTGACAAACTCTTTTATATCATTCTCCCCATTGTTTCCCATTCACTCTGCTTAAGAAATTTTAACTGATTTCTGGATATTTAAGATTCCAAGAGGTTTTGTCATTGACCCCTCCTTGTCAGTTCCCAGAAATCAGCTTATGTCTTGATTTTTAGTTATACGAGTACCCCAGATTTTTATTATCTAATTACAATCTTCACCTTTTAATTGTGTAATGAACTTCCTCTGACTGCTTATTTCAAATAGGCCTTCACAAGAAATCCCTCAGTTGATTGTTACGTCCATATTTTCTTTGGCTTCCTTATAGCAACAACCCATCAGCACAGCATCTCCTGTGGGGCAATTAGACACGTTTGACCATCCTGCAAGGAAAACAGAAATAGAAGGGGGTCTCAGGGTTACAGAAGTATATTGTCAGTGTTACAAAAGCATATTGGCGTGTCCTGATAAGTCTCTTCTTTCTTGCAGCTACACAAAGGGCGTGGACATGTGGAGTATTGGCTGTATTCTCGGGGAGATGCTGCTTGGAAAACCTCTTTTTCCTGGAACATCCACAGTGAATCAGATAGAGCAGATCTTGAGTGTCATTCCTGCCCCATCCCAGGAAGGTGAGACTTTTCCATGAAGGGAAGTATTAGCAGCCCAATTGCATAAGAGAATGCCAATTATGAGTGATTCTTGCTCTCTCCCAGGAACTTAGAAGACTGAGTGGTGGAATGTTGGGGACGGTGTGGAAAATAAAACCTTAGGTGGTGTGATACATCAGGGCCAGGGAGCAGTGGGAGAGGGGAGATGTATATAAGCCTTAGGTTGATTAAGGCATGGTTCCCTGTAAACTAGGAAGGTTAATTGGAGTACCTGTAGTAAAGTAAGGTCCTGTCAGGAACCTAATAATAATAATAAAATAAAAAAAACCAAACAAACAAAAAAAAACCCTGCTTCAGGCAGACAGGGTGATGTGAGGAAGGAGAGAGGACTGGAGTTTGGAGATGTGTTGCTGAGAATTGAAAGACCAGAGAACTGGAGGAAGGGAGAGACTCCCTCCCCCAGCATCCAGGACCAAGGGTAACTCTACCCAAGGGGGAAGAAGGTAAGAAACTCGCAGGGGTTGAGAGGGGCTGGGGCTCAGAGTGAGGAGCAAACCCAGACCCTTCCCCGCTTCCCTCCTCTACCACCTTCCTGGGCCAATAGCAGAGCCCTCGGCGCCCCAGGGGCAAGGGGTAGCATCCTAGGCGCCCCCCCTGCTAAGAAAAGCACAGGACCCACCATACCAACTGGCCATTTTGCCACAGTGATCAGATAATAGAGATAACATGCTGCTTCTAGCATGCATGGAGGTGGTTGATGACAGTTACATATATTAAGATGATTAATGTCATAAGTCAGTCAGGCTTCCTGGCCTGGTCACCTGAACACAGAACTGGGAGCATGAAATTCATAGGTCCTTTTTTTTTTTTTTTTTTTAAGGCCAGAATGGATTATTATGATCATCTAGGCCAGTGGTTCTCAATCTATTACCATTGTGGGCTGCATATGCAGCTCTGTGTTATGTGGGCTGCATCCAGGCGCGCGCGCACTCGCTCTTTTATTTTTATATAAAAATAAATAAATAAGAAATATAATGTATGGCCCTGAGGATCATCGAATATCAGGGTTGGAAGGGACCTCAGGAGGTCATCTAGTCCAACCCCCTGCTCAAAGCAAGACCAATCCCCAACTAAATCATCCCAGCCAGGGCTTTGTCAAGTCTACCTTAAAAACATCTAAGGAAGAAGATTTCACCACCTCCCTAGGTAACCCATTCCAGTGCTTCACCCCCCTCCTAGTGGAAAGTTGTTGGTTCCCCTCCCTCCCCAATATCCAGTCTAAACCTCCCCCACTGCAACTTGAGACCATTGCTCCTTGTTCTGTTATCTGGTACCACTGAACAGTCTAGATCCATCCTCTTTTTGGAACCCCCTTTCAGGTAGTTGAAAGTACCTATCAAATTCCCCCCTTATTCTTCTCTTCTGCAGATTAAATAATCCCAGTTCCCTCAGCCTCTCCTCATAAGTCATATGCTCCAGCCCCCTAATCATTTTTGTTGCCCTCCGCTGGACTCTTTCCAATTTTTCCACATCCTTCTTGTAGTGTGGGGCCCAAAACTGGACACAGTACTCCAGATGAGGCCTCACCAATGTTGAATAGAGGGGAATGATCATGTCCCTCAATCTGCTGGCAATGCCCATACTTATACAGCCCAAAATGCCATTAGCCTTCTTGTCAACAGTGTGCCCTTGTTGCCTCATATCCAGCTTCTGCTGCCTAGCCACCTGGTCCCTAGTCTGTAGCAGTGCATGGGATTCTTCCGTACTAAGTGCAGGACTCTGCACTTATCCTTGTTGAACCTCATCAGATTTCTTTTGGCCCAATCCTCTAATTTGTCTAGGTCCCTCTGTATCCTATCCCTACCCTCCAGTGTATCTACCACTCCTCCCAGTTTAGTATCATTTGCAAACTTGCTCGGGGTGCAGTCCACGCCATCCTCCAGATCATTAATTAAGGTACTGAACAAAACCGGCCCCAGGACTGACCCTTGGGGCACTCCGCTTGATACCGGCTGCCAAGTAGACATGGAGCCATTGATCACTACCCGTTGAGCCTGACGATCTAGCCAGCTTTCTATTCACCTTTATAGTCCATTAATCCAGTCCATATTTCTTTAACTGCTGGCAAGAATACTGTGGGAGACAATATCAAAAGCTTTCCTAAAGTCAAGGAATAACACGTCCACTGCTTTCCCCTCATTCACAGAGCCGGTTATCTCCTCATAGATGGCGATTAGGCCCTTGGTGAATCGATGCTGACTGTTGCTGATCACTTTCCTCTTCTTGAAGTGCTTCAAAATTGATTCCTTGAGGACCTGCTCCATGATTTTTTCCAGGGACTGTGGTGAGGCTGACTGGCCTGTAGTTCCCTGGATCCTCCTCCTTCCCTTTTTTAACCATGGGCACTACATTAGCCTTTTTCCAGTCATCCGGGACCTCCCCTGATCACCATGAGTTTTCAAAGATAATGAAATGCAAATAATGCATTATTTGTAATAATGCAATCACATCCACCAACTGCTTTAGCACCCTCGGATGCAGTGCATCCGGCCCCATGGACTTGTGCTCGTCCAGCTTTTCTAAATAGTTCTGAACCACTTCTTTCTCCACAGAGGGCTGGTCACCTCCTCCCCATACTGTGCTGCCCAGTGCAGTAGTCTGGGAGCTGACCTTGTTCATGAAAACAGAGGCAAAAAAAGCATTGAGTACATTAGCTTTTTCCACATCCTCTGTCACTAGATTGCCTCCCCCATTCAGTAAGGGTCCCACACTTTCCTTGACCACCTTCTTGTCACATGGGCCACAGCTCTGTGCTGATTGGGCCGCAAGCGGTCCACAGGTGAGAACCACTGGTCTAGGCTGACTGTTTGCATAACACAGGCTATAGAATTTCACCCAAGAATTCTTGCATCAAGCCCATATGTTGTGGTTGAGCTAGAGCACGGTTTTCTAGAGAGAGAGAGCCAGTCTTGATTTAAAGATTTCCAAGTGATGAAGACCTGACTACATCTTTTGGCAAATTGTTCCAGTGGTTAATTACACTCACTGGGGCTTGTCTATATGAACAGTTAGTAAATTTACAGCACAATAGTGTGCCATGCATTAACTGGCAGTGTGGATCCTGCTACAACACATTTAGTTCCATGGTGCACTTTGATTTATTTCACTTTGAAATGGGAGTAGATCAAAGTGGACTATGGAACTTTTAGTGCACAGCAGTTGGGTCCATATAGCAAGTTAGCACACTAGCCTGCCGGGCACTATAGACTTACACCCCAGCTTGCCATGCACTAACTGTTCATATAGACAAGCCCACTATTAAAAATCAGCACCTTATTTCTAGTCTGAATTAATCTAGTTTCAGTTTGCAATCTTATTGTGTCTTTAATCTAGCAGACAAACAGTCCTCTACTATCAGAAATATTCTCCTCCATGCAGAAATTCCAGGATTATAAACCCTGCTCTTTCACTTACTATCTCTAGAGCACCTGCTATGATGTACAGGAATCACACTCTCTCTCTTTTTCAATTTGCCATCTGTTAAATGGGACTCTTACTTATAATACCTCATAAGGTGCTGTGAGGCTACATCCATTAATGTACGTAAAGCAATTGAGATTCTCTCTTGGAAAGCATTAGAGATGGGTAAAATATTATTGAATCTTCTCTACCAAAATTAACTCCTTAGGTTCGAATTCAAGATTTCGAGTCACAAACTGCATGGCTCTGGGAATCCTGCCCAGGGTCTTCACTAAATCTGTTTTCTGTTGCAGATATTTTAGCTATCCATTCAGACTACAGAGCCTCTGTTATTAACCGCATAAGCTCCAGGTAAGCCTTTACCATTGTGTCACTAGCAGAAACCAACAGACGTTGATATAATGTGGGGGAAAGCTCAGCAACTAGCTGGGCAGGGATCTCTCTACAAACTCACTTATTCATCCTCAAGGCAGTGACATTAGATAGAAACAATAACTGAAATAAAAACTAGTGACCGATCATCATTCAGGACTAATATTAAAGTTGACCCGACAAGCTTTTTACTTGCCATGGCCCAAATTCCAGGCTTTTATGTTGTGATGTTGTCAAAAGTAGAACATTCCCTTGTATTCTTTGTGCTGGTTATGCTCTTGAGATTATGAAGTTGAGGATAGCTGGTTCTCTCTAATATGTTTTTAACTTCAAATTTATGAAAAGTTTCTTTATGTATTTTTATTAGAAGGCTGATTTTTTTGTTAGAGAGAGCCCACATTAAAAAGAATTCTGTATAGCTTAAGACCGGATTCAGGACTCCACCCTTGTAGTAAGCAAAATTCCACTTTTATTACTACTTACTAAATACAAGCAATAAAAATGCAGGTCACATTACAACACCACCATGCACTTCTTTAGCTCACACATTGTACTGTAAAACCAACTAAAATGCACATTATGGGGAGTTTTACCTTTATTCAGTTTTCTGCATTCTTTATTTTAGTTACAGGAACAGATTTAACTTAGGCAAAAGTTTATTATTGTATTTGTTTTAAGAAAGATGTTAAAACTTAAGTTGCTTACTAGAAATTCTTTTCAAACTGCAGGAGTTTTCAGATGATAACTTTGTATATGTTACATCAGGGGTAGGCAACCTATGGCACGCATGCCGATTTTCAGTGGCACTCACACTGCCTGGGTCCTGGCCACTGGTCCAGGGGGCTCTGTATTGTAATTTAATTTTAAATGAAGCTTCTTAAACATTTTAAAAACCTTATTTACTTTACATACAACAATAGTTTAGTTATATATTATAGACTTATAGAAAGAGACCTTCTAAAAAACTTAAAATGTATTACTGGCATGTGAAACCTTAAATTAGAGTGAATAAATGAAGACTCGGCACACCACTTCTGAAATGTTGCCAACCCCTGTGTTACATGATTTTTAGCCAGTTTTAAGGTGGACTATCTTAGGGTACGTCTATACTACCCGCCGGCTCGGGCAAATAGCGTAGCTGAAGTTGTGTATCTTAGTTCGAACCCCCCGCTAGTGTACTCAGGCCTTAGATGTTGTTCCAATTAAGCTTTTAATACTAGTGTGGAGTAATGCTTAATTTCTGTCTGGGTGTAGATCCAGGTACAAGGTGAGATGGGATGTTTGGCTTGACACAGTTCGTCTCCCATGGACTAGTTTTGGGTACTAGGTGCATGGCTAGTCTCCTTTGGATTCAGTTCTCTGCAGGAACTGGTGGACATCTTTTTATGTCCTAAACAATCCTCTTTTAGGTAGAGATGTTCTTTGACCTGGGGGTAATTCTGCCTCTTACTAAAATATTGAGTTGTCAGACCTCAGCTTCTGCTGAACAATGTCTCAGAAGAACTTTTAACTTCCATCCTGGCACTTTCCCTGAATAGTCTTTGTAACTACATACTGGCTAGTCCAGTAGCTAGCTTTAAACCTTTTAATCTTAACCTCACGTTTACATTCCGCTTTCCTTCTGTTTCTTCTTTTTGTAAGAAAGGTGCAAATGGCTTCCTCTTATTTAAGACTATTTTGGTTATTATACCTTTTTATAGGATGAGTTGATACACTATTTTTGTTAGAATTAATATGACACAGTTTAGTTTTATCTGACAAAGTTAAATTATACTTTTTTAACTTTGTTTCTACACTTTTTTTTTTTTCCCCTCAACACTATGTATTTGTATCAACCTATCATATGCTAATTGTAGTCACTTGTTTTAGATTAAGTATCACCTCCTTGGTCTTTAGGCTTTTCCCCTTCTGTTCACATCCCTTTGTGACACCTTAATGGGAGAGGACATCTCTGTCCTTGCCCTTCATGACTGATTCTTTGGGTGGGGGTTGAAGCTTCAGAAACTCCTTAACATGACAAGTGCTGATGAATAATAAGGGGGTGTGACGGGTTGTTACCCTTGGGGTGTAGTCTGGGAGCTGTGGGCACCACTGGGCCCCTCTAACCACTCAGTTGGGTTGGCCCTGCTCACCCTGGTTGGGGACACAACCAGCCTAACCCAGGCCCTGTTATCATCCAACATGACAGCAGATGCTGCCACATACCCAAATTGAACTACCTGAGAGAGCAGCTTCACCAAAGCCACTCAAATACATGCAGCAGACAGCAGCCAATTTCCTAGCTTTCCAGACTCTTTTCTTTCCTCCCCCCGTCTCACACACTGAAGCATAAACCCAAAATTATACCATCTTGTGCTGCACAGGGAACTGTACAGTGCAAGCTCATAAAATTTGCCCCTTCCCCTAATGTGGAGAAGAATATGCAACAGCCTTTGAACTAAGATTCCCATACGCTTTACTCCAACTCACTGGTTTAGATAAAGCAAAAACAAGTTTATTAACTACACAAGATAGATTATAAGTGATAGCAAACAGATCAAAGCAGATTACTTAGCAAATAAACAAAAACACAAACTAAGCTTAATATACTAAATAGAATGGATATGAATAGCAGATTCTCACCCTAAGAGCTGATACAAGCAGGCTCCAGATTCTTAAGGGGAAGCTGCACTTGCTCTACAGCTTGGAATCCCCAGGTGTCTCATTCATAGGCTAGAAATCTCTTTAGCCTGAGTCCAGCACTTCCTCCAGTTCAGTCTTTGTTCCTCAGGTGTTTCCAGGAGTCTTCTTGTGTGGGGAGTGAAGAACACCAGATGATGTCACTGTGATGGGTTCAGTCACAAACACCCCCTTGGGGCTGTTACTTGATGTGCTGAAATTACCACTGAGCCCATTTTCCACTGCCAGCTTGGGACTCCAGAACCCTGCCTTGTTGAGCCAGACACACTAGCTTGCTGTAACACAGACCCAGGTCTGGTCCACACCCCTAGAGCTGCAGCCTTTAACCAAAACTGCTCAGCAAGTCACTTATCTCCAGCACACAGACACCCAACTCCCAATGGGATCCAAACCACAAATAAATCCGTTTTACTCTGTATAAAGCTTGCACAGGGTAAACTCATAAATTGTACGCCCTCTATAACACTGATGGAGAGAGATGTACAGCTGTTTGCTCCCCCAGGTATTAATCATTTATCCTGGGTTAATTAATAAACAAGTGATTTTTATTAAGAATAAAAAGTAGGATTTAAGTGGTTTCAAGTAATAACAGACAGAACAAAGTAAGTTACCAAGCAAAATAAAACAAAACATGCAAGTCTAAGCCTAATATATTTAAGAAACTGAATACAGGTAAATCTCACCCTCAGAGATGTTCCAATAAGCTTCTTTCACAGACTAGACTTCTTCCTAGTCTGGGCCTAATCCTTTCCCCTGGTACAGTTCTTGTTAGTTCCAGCTCAGGTGGCAACTTGGGGATTTCTCATGACTGGCAGCCCCCTTTGTTTTATTCCGCCCCCTTTTATATCTTTGGCACAAGGCAGGAATCCTGTCTGTCTCTCTCGGTTCCCACCCTTCCTTCTAAAGGGAAAAGCACCAAGTTTAAGAGGGATTCCAGTATCATGTGACATGTTCTGTGAGACTTCATTACTCACTGGCTGGCACCCATGTATACAGGAAGACTTACAAGTAAGCAGAGCCATTTACAACCAATTGTCCTAGTTAATGGGAGCCATCAAGCTTCCAAGCCACCATTAATGGCCTACACTTTGCCTACCTTAGTTACAATAGGACTTCAGAGCAATACGTTATATTTCTAGCTTCAGCTACAAGCATGATACATTCATACAAATAGGAAGAACACACTCAGTAGATTATAAGCTTTGTAATGATATCTTTTGCATAAAGCATATTCCAGTTACATTATATTTATGCTCATAAGCATATTTCCATAAACATATGGAGTGCAACGTCATAGTCACTCCCTGCTTTATATAGCTTTTGCATATGGTGGGAACCCTTTGTTTCAAAGCTTGGTTCCCGGACCAGTCTGTGGAAAAATACTGACATCCCAAGATGGAGTCCAGCATCATGTGGTCTGACCACGTGTCCTTGTAGAGTCATAGCAGCCCTTACTCACAGGCTGTTTGGAGTGTTCTCAAGAAGGTTCATCACCAGATGGGAGATAAGCTTCTCCTAAGGCCTATTGTTTTTTTTTAATGGCCCATTGCCCTGAATAGGCCCTTCCCCACCCACTATCTAGACTGAAAGCATCTTGTCTAGTGGGCGTTACCCAGGTGTAACTACATTTGAAATATAGATACATAGTCAATATTCATAACTTCAGATAAAAAATGATTTATGCATATAAATAGGATAATCATATTCAGCAAATCATAACTTTTCCAATGACACCTCACATGACTTACCTTGCATAAAATACATCATAATTATGTCATTATAATATCACTATGAAGAATATGGGATGCACTGCCACAGGGGGTATTTAGGGCCCAACAAGGGCTGAGCTGTTAATAAAATCCTTGCTTAGTGATGCAACATTAAACATGTTTTGCAGTTTGTGTCAAGTTATTGCTGGTTTACTCCAGTTGTAACAGCCACCATTGAAAACATTTAAACATCTTGTTAAACTTTCCCCCCCTCTCTTTTCCTGTGTGTTTTAAGCATTTAAAACTTAAAGAATTAAGTAAGGCTTTTATTTAAAGAATTTTCCTTATTCCCTTTCCCTTTTGCTCTATATGGGATGGGTTTGATCACAGAAACCTCCTTGGGACTGTCCCCTGATGTACTGAGACTACCTCTGAGCCTATTTTCTCTGCCAGTGTGGGCCTCCAGAACCCTGCCTTGTTGAGCCAGACACGCCAGTCGACTTCAACACAGACCCAGGGTCTGAACCACACGCCCCAAAGCTGCAGACTTAACTGAAAACCGCTTAAGAAGTGCTCATCTCTAGCACCCAGAGACCCAGCTCCTAATGGGATCTAAACCCCAAATAAATCAGTTTTTCTCTGTATAAAGCTTATACAGGGTAATAAATTGTCCGCCCTCTATAACACTGATCAAGAAAGAGATGCACAGCTGTATGCTCCTGCAGATATTAATTAATTTGGGTCAATTAATAAGCAAAAGTGATTATATTAAATTAGGATTTAAGTGGTTCCAAGCAATAACAGACAGAGCAAAGTAAGTTACCAATCAAAATAAAACAAAACACGCAAGTCTAAGCCTAACACATTAAGAAACTGATTACAGATGAAATCTCACCCCCCGAGATGTTCTAATAAGCTTCTTTCACAGACTAGACTCCTTCCTAGTTTGGGGCCAGCAATCATTCACACCCCCGTAGTTACTGTCCTTTGTTCCAGTTTCTTTCAGGCATCTCTTGGGGGTGGAAAGGCCATCTCTTGAGCCAGCTGAAGACAAAATGGAGAGGCTTCCAGTCCTTTTATAGTCTCTCGCTTGTGGGCAGAAACCCCTTTGTTCTTCTGTGCAAAGTCACAGCAACAAGATGGAGTTTGTAGCCACCTGGGCAAGTCACATGTCCATGATGATTCAGCTTTCTGCAGGCTGACACCATTGTTTACATGTTAGTTTGAATGTTCCCAGGAAAGCTCAGATGTGGATTGGCATCTCCCAAAGTCCATTGTCAGTTAAGTGTTTCTTGATAGGACTATTTCAGTAAGTGCCCATTCTCAAGAAGCTGACCAAATTCTTCACTGAGGCTACTTGGATTCAAATGCATTGAGATACAAGTACATAGCCAATATTCATAACTTCAAATGCAAAAATGATACACACATACAGACAGCATAATCATAACCAGCAAAGTACAACCTTTCCATAGACATCCCACTTGACCTCCTCTGTACAAGACCTGGTGCAACCATAGGATCCTGGTTACAACAATGATCTATACGGTCACAGTTCATGTCAATAACATCGCAGTATAGTCTTTTATAGCAGAAGATCTCTGCTTGAAAGTCTTAGATCATATTAAAGATGGTATTAAGTCTCCCTTTTGGGGGAAAGAGAGAGCGTTAAGATGGTCTTGGGTAGTTGTTGTTGAAGTCCAGTCATCTTTTCTTTAAGACAAAGCCAGACAACTTGCTGAAATATGGAGAGAAAAGATCAGCAAAAATAGAAAATGCAGCTTCTGTCTCTAATGCTTTCTTTCCCTTGCCGTCCAGTTGCTGGGAAATGATAGGCCCAGCACATGGTCTTATCAGCCACTCTTAAGAGTTGGCAAACTTTTACCAGCATTGGGCTATTTAGGACATTACTTTTGCTGTGACCAGGGAAGCAGCTAATATTGCAAAAGGTGGAGCTTTCTTGGAGGCTAAATCAGACTCTTATCAGACAAAAAGAAGATAGGAAAGAGGAGAAAAAGGGTGGGGAAAGAAAATGGCACTCCAGGGAGGGGGAGTGGAACCCAGAGTGCAGATTCTAGGTGGTGGTCAAGATTTAGGTGAAGCTGGTGGATGGGGTGATGTCTCTGGCTTGATCTGGTCAGGACACCTTTCAAGATCAGGACGATAAAGTCTCAGTGGTGTCTTAGTGGATCCCAGGACACTGGGAGACTGGTAGCAGCCATGATGGTGAAACTTCCTCCTCCTAATTCACTGTCCTGTTGTCATGGGTTGCCACTGTGACAGACACTTCCAGGAACTTGAGGACATCTTGTTCAACTTCTTTAACTTAAGAAATCCAGTGTGTCTCCAAATTTTGCTTGCTTTCATAAACAATTTTGTATAATGCACTGAATTGACTTCAGTTCCTCCTCCTCCTAATTTGATATTGCTAACTAGTCACCTTGAGTGGGATCCACACATACAAGGACTCAAAGAGGAAGAACAGTTACTTACAGTGGTTCTTAGAGATATTTTGTTCATTTGTTCCTACGATCCACCCCCCCCATCCCTATTTCTGAGTCTTATCCTAATAGGGTTTCTGAATTGAAAGGCAGTTGGAGAGGCACAAAGATATGTAGGGTGCAGGCATGCCCCGATAGACACTGCTGGTCAAAAATTCTGATCTCTCATGAGGTGCATGTGTACCTTGGGAGGGATCCACACAGATGAAACATTTCCAAACTGCAGTTATTGTAAGGTAAGTAGCTGTTCTTTTCATGTACAACTTTAACTCTGACCACTATATGTGTGTATCAACAGACAACATCAAAGTATCACATTCCTTATCATGTATAATATGAATCATTATATTCAAAGAACACCATAACCACTAACCATCCCTTCCCCACAACAAAAACAGATAAATACAAATAAACAAAAGGACGCGTGACAAATGGAGAGATGATACTGTTGAGTATCCAGTCTAGAGGTTGACAGATTCTTCCTAGAAACGGGGGGGAGGGAGGTGAGGCACAAGGCCCCTCCCCCTCCATGGCTCCGCCCTTGCCCCCCTCTTTCCCACAAGGCTCTGCCCCCCAGCCAAGCTGGAGCTGGGTCAGGGAGCCTGGGTCCCTCCACCTGCTTGGGTGGGGGCAGCTGAGAGCAGCCGCCTGTGCCCCCCACCCAGGGCAGGTGGAGGGTCCGTGGCTCCCCACAGGTACCCGTGTGACTCTTACCCCAACCTTGCTCCGGCTTCCAGGCTGGCCTGGGGGCGGGGCCTAGGGCCAAAGAGCAGTAGCCAGGCCATGGTAAGAGCTGCCCGGGAGCTGCAGACCCACCATCTGCCCTGGGCAGGGGGCCCAAGGTGTAGGGACATGGGTCGGGGGCTGCTCTTGGGCCCCGCTACCCTGGGCTGGTGGAGGGTCTGCGGCTCCCCACAGCTGCCCAGGCTCCCTGGGCTGGGCTCCAGCTTCCGGCCTGGCCGGGGGGTGGGCCCGTGGGGGGAGGAAGAGGGGCTGGGCCTGGCCTGTGGCGAAAAGCGGACTGGCCAGACCTGTCCACTTTCAAAAGCGGGAGGGCCAACATGGCCCCTTCGCCTCCCCTATTCTGGTGCCCCCAATCCAGTCACCCAAAAGGTCATTACCATGACATTGCAACGTAGTTAAAAATAGTGATTTTATTTTTGTAATGAAGGTTTTTTAATTTGAACTGACTTTTTAAAAAAATTTAAATTAGTTTTTATGTATGTGTTCTTAGAAGTAAATCGCTATCATAAATTCCTAACAAAGATATTTTGCTCTTGTTTCTTTGCTTAGTTCTGTAATTGTTAGTAAGAAGGAAAAATGTTTCCATGTCATTAACTAGCTAGGTTGGAGACCTCACAATAATCTAGTTATTTGAGCATGACGGGGTGTGGCTGGGTCATGACAAATGCTAAGATTAGGTCGCAGAAGTCACGGAATCTGACTTTCAGCCATCTCTGTGACATTGAGGAACCCCCAGCTGCCCGGCCTCTGTGGGCGGTGGGACCCTCCGCAGCGCACAACCGGCGGTGGCAGAGGGACCCTGGAGCTGTTCAGTAGCCACGAGTGGAGGGCCCCTCCCCCCCGCAACTCCCCAGCCGCCACTGCTGGTAGTGGCCCCCTGCAGCTCCCCAGACTCTGTTGCTGGCAGGGCCCCCCCTGCAGCTTTCCTGCCTCTGTGGGCGGTGGGGGACCCCCCTCCTGCAGCTCCCAGCCCCACAGGGCAGCGGGGGGGAATCCTCCCAGCCACTGGGCAGTCGGATCCCTGCAGCTCCCAGCCGCTGTGGCAGGGAGTGGGAGGGGCAGGGTGCTGTACCCTCCTCCCTCTGCATTTTGTCAGGGATGTTTTTAGTAAAGTCAGGGACAGGTCATGGCTTCTGTGATTTTTTTGTTTATTGCCTGTGACCTGTCCCTGACTTTTATTAAAAACGTCCCTGACAAAACCGTAGTATTAGTCCTGAACCGCTCCTTGGGAGTGAAATCTGGGGTTAGGAGTTACCTCCATGAGATTCCCAGGGTTGAGATACAGGGTTTTGCAGTGAAATTGGGCACTGGGAGTTACAACTTTGATTCTTGCCTTTCAGACGACGAGTGACAATTGAGGAAATTTTACCCTCCTCTACCCCCCCTTATGCCTTGGACCTTCTAAAGAGGCTTTTAGTATTTAACCCTGATAAACGGCTGACCGCAGAAGAGGCCCTGCAACATCCCTATGTGAAAAGGTGAGGGCAATGCCAGTGTGAAATTTCCCAACCCCCTCCTTCTCCCCCCCCAAGCCTCTTGTGTGGCTGCTACCAGCACAAATTACCCTTCTACCCATAGACTCATAGACTCATAGACTTTAAGGTCAGAAGGGACCATTATGGTCATCTAGTCTGACCTCCCGCATGATGCAGGCCACAAAAGCTGGCCCACCCAATTTCCCTTATCTCAGCTGTTGAAGTCTCCAGATCGTGATTTAAAGACTTCAAGTCGCAGAGAATCCTCCAGCTTGAGACCCCTGCCCTATGCTGCGGAGGAAGGCAAAAAACCTCCAGGGCCTCTGCCAATTTACCCTGGAGGAAAATTCCTTCCCGACCCCAAATATGGCGATCAGTAGAACCCCGAGCATACAGGCAAGATTCTCCAGCCGGACCCACATTTTACCAGCGATGGCCTGGCTGGAGAATCATGTGAAATGGTGAAGGTAATGGTAGTTTTCAATCTGCTTTCTACTCCTCTTCATGTGAGAAGGTGAGGGTGCCTTAGTATGTGATATTTCAGATATCTCTCTCTCTGTTGTAGCTCTCAGTGGTTTCTGATGTGTCACTCTTTCATGTATAATGGGAGTATAATTAACACCAGTCAACCTGGCTTTATGGAAAATAGATCTTGTCAAACTTGATCTAATTTTTTTATGAGATTACAAGTTTGGTTGATAAAGATAATTGTGCAGATGAAAGATACTTAGGCCTGAATGCACAAAAGGAGTTAGGTGCCTAAGTCCTGGTTTTGGCAGCACTGTAATGCACCCTTGCCCCCCACCAAACCCTGCAGGTGCCTAAATTCACTCAGCACCTAAATTTTTTGAGTAAAAGTTCCCTTGGTGCATGTGTTTCTGCCTCTGCGCATGTGCACTGCTGCCTCCCTCCAGGCATCTAGATGCCTGTTTCTTAGCTGAGCCACAGAGCAATTCACAGACCAGGGGAAGATAGACATTTGGCTGTTTAAGTTCTGTGCAGGGCCTGATAATCAGAGGCTGCCTACCAGATCAGGGCTCTCAGGTGAGTTCACACAAACTATTTGGGGAGGAAGAGGAAGAAGACTTCCCTCATAAATTCAGTGGTTAGGGTACTCACCTAGGATGTGGGAGACTCCAGGTTCAAGTACCCCCCTCCACCTATAGGGGAGAAGAGATTTGAACTAGGAGCAATGATATTCAATATTTTTATCAAAGATAAGGAAGTAAATATAAAATTGCTGATAAAATTTGCAGCTGATATAAAGGTTGACAATGTGATAAATAATGATGATAGATAAATAATGATGAGGACAGGGTAGGTAGAGCTTTGAAATCTGGACCCATTTAAATAAAATGTTTTAATAAAGCCAAATGCAAGATTATATATCTAGAAACAAAGAATGCAGGCCATACTTACAGAATGCAGGGCTGTATCCTGGACAGCAATGCTTCTGAAAAGTATTTAGGGGTAATAGTGAACAAGCAACTCAACATAAGCTTCCAGTGAAATGCTGTGGCAAAAAGGGCTAATGCGATCCTTGGATGCATAAACGGGAGCAGGAGTAAGGAGGTGATTTTTACCTTTGTATACAGTGTTGGTGAGATTGATATTGGAAAACTGTCCAGTTCTGGAGTCCTTTTTTAAAAAGGGATGTCAAAATATTGGAGAGGGTGCAGAGAGGAGATAAAACATTATTTGAGGGGTGGAAAAATGTCTTTCAGTGAGAGACATTGCCCTGGTCTACACTACGAGTTTAGGTCGAATTTAGCAGCGTTAGATCGATTTAACCCTGCACCCGTCCACACGATGAAGCCATTTTTGTCGACTTTAAGGGCTCTTAAAATCAATTTCTGTACTCCTCCCCGATGAGGGGATTAGCGCTGAAATCAACATTGCCGGGTTGAATTTGGGGTAGTGTGGACCCAATTCGACGGTATTGGCCTCCGGAAGCTATCCCAGAGTGCTCCATTGTGACCGCTCTGGACAGCACTTTCAACTCGGATGCACTAGCCATGTACACAGCAAAAGCCCCGGGAACTTTTGAATTTCATTTCCTATTTGGCCAGTGTGGCGAGCTCATCAGCACAGGTGACCATGCAGTCCCAGAATCGCAAAAGAGCTCCAGCATGGACCGAACGGGAGGTACTGGATATGATCACTGTTTGGGGAGACGAATCTGTGCTATCAGAACTCTGTTCCAAAAGACAAAATGCCAAAATATTTGAAAAAATCTCCAAGGACATGATGGACAGAGGCTACAACAGGGACCCACAGCAGTGCTGCATGAAAATTAAGGAGCTCAGGCAAGCCTACCAAAAAACGAAAGAGGCAAACGGCCACTCCGGGTCAGACCCCCAGACATGCCGCTTCTATGATGAGCCGCATTCAATTCTAGGGGGGGGCCCTACCACTACCCCACCCCTGTCCGTGGCCACCTGCAAGTGGGGAGTCTCATGCACAGGGATGAGGATTTTGGGGACGAGGAGGTGGAGGAGGATGAGGATAGCGCACAGCACGCAAGCGGAGAAATCATTCTCCCCAACAGCCAGGAACTGTTTATCACCCTGGAGCCAATACCCTCCCAAGGCAGGCTCACGGACCATGAAGCCGGAGAAGGCACTTCTGGTGAGTGTACCTTTGTAAATATAATGCATGGTTTAAAAGCAAGCCTGTTTAATGATTAATTTGCCCTGAAGGCTTGGGATGCATTCGCGGCCAGTACAGCCCCTCCTTTTAAATGGCCAACCCAATGGGTGCTTGGTATGGGAAAGGAGGGTGCTGCTGTTTGAAACCATCCCCACATGTTATGAAGGTTGAAGAAGCCGAAAGACTGGCTTACCATGGCTCCCTGCAAGCCAAATTCTGTTTCCCGGCCCTGCGTGTGTGATCTCTCACACCAAACTGACAGGCCCTCAATATAAGAGGCAAAATGCGACCTTGTACCAAAAGCACATGTGCTATGTAATGTTAACAGCTTGGTTCACCGTGAAAGAGTCTACCCATTGTTCTCTAAAATGTCTTTTTAAATACTACTCTGCCTTTTTTTCCTCCCGCAGCTGCAAATGTTTCAACGCTCCCCCTATCATCTCCGTCCCAGAGGCTAGCTCAGATAAGAAGGTGAAAAAAACGCACTCGCGATGAAATATTCTGAGCTCATGCAGTCCTACTGCACTGAAAGAGCTCAGCAGAATGCATGGAGGCAAACAATGTCAGAGTCCAGGAAAGCAGAAAATGAACACGAGGACAGGAGGGACGAGCGAGATGAGAGGTGGCGGGAGCAAGATGAGAGGTGTTGGCAGCGTGATGAGAGGAGGCAGGATGCAATGCTGAGGCTACTGGGGGATCAAACTGATATGCTCCGGCGTCTGGTGGAGCTGCAGGAAAGTCAGCAGGAGCACAGACTGCCACTGCCACTCCTGTGTAACCGCCCGCCCTCCTCCCCAAGTTCCATAGTCTCCTCACCCAGACGCCCAAGAACGCGGGGGCGGCTCTGGGCACCCAACCACTCCACCCCAGAGGACTGCCCAAGCAACAGAAGGCTGGCATTCAATAAGTTTTGAAGTGCAGTGTGACCTTGTCCTTCCCTCCTCCCCCACCCCTCCCGGGCTACCTTGGCAGTTATCCCCCTATTTGTGTGACGAAATAATAAAGAATGCATGATTTTGAAACAATAATGACTTGATTGCCTCTGCAAGCAGTGATCAAAGGGGGGAGGGCGGTTGGCTTACAGGGAAGTAGAGTGAACCAAGGGGGCGGGTTTTCATCAAGGAGAAACAAACAGAACTGTCACACCGTAGCCTGGCCAGTCATGAAACTGGTTTTCAAAGCTTCTCTGATGCGCAGCGCACCCTGCTGTGCTCTTCTAATTGCCCTGATGTCTGGCTGCGCGTAATTAGCGGCCAGGCGATTTGCCTCAACCTCCCACCCCGCCATAAACATCTCCCCCTTACTCTCAGAGATATTGTGGAGCACACAGCAAGTGGCAATAACAATTGGAATATTGGTTTCGCTGAGGTCTAACCAAGTCAGTAAACTGCGCCAGCACGCTTTTAAACGTCCAAATGCGCATCTACCACCATTCTGCACTTGCTCAGCCTATAGTTGAACAGTTCCTTACTACTGTCCAGGGTGCCTGTGTATGGCTTCATGAGCCATGGCATTAAGGGGTAGGCTGGGTCCCCGAGGATAACTATAGGCATTTCAACGTTCCCAACAGTTATTTTCTGGTCTGGGAAGTAAATCCCTTCCTGCAGCTGTTCAAACAGACCAGAGTTCCTGAAGATGCGAGCGTCATGTACCTTTCCCAGCCATCCCACGTTGATGTTGGTGAAATGTCCCTTGTGATCCTCCAGTGCTTGCAGTGCCTTTGAAAAGTACCCGCTGCGGTTTATGTACTGGCTGCCAAGGTGGTCCGGTCCCAAGATAGGGATATGCGTTCCATCTATCGCCCCACCACAGTTAGGGAATCCCATTGCAGCAAAGCCATCCACTATGACCTGCACATTTCCCAGAGTCACTACCCTTGATAGCAGCAGCTCAGTGATTGCATTGGCTACTTGGATCACAGCAGCCCCCACAGTAGATTTACCCACTCTAAATTGATTCCCGACTGACCGGTAGCTGTCTGGCGTTGCAAGCTTCCAGAGGGGTCTCGCCACTCGCTTGTGAACTGTGAGGGCTGCTCTCATCTTGGTATTCTTGCGCTTCAGAGCAGGGGAAAGCAAGTCACAAAGTTCCATGAAAGTGCCTTTACGCATGCGAAAGTTTCGCAGCCACTGGGAATCATCCCAGACCTGCAACACTATGCGGTCCCACCAGTCTGTGCTTGTTTCCCGGGCCCAGAATCGGCGTTCCACGGCATGAACCTGCCCCATTACCACCATGATGTCCAAATTGCCAGGGCCCGTGCTTTGAGAGAAGTCTGAGTCCATGTCCTCATCACTATTGTGATCGCGCTGTCATTGCCTCCTTGCCTGCTTTTGCAGGTTCTAGTTCTGCACATACTGCAGGATAATGCATGAGATGTTTACAATGCTCACAACAGCAACGGTGAGCTGAGCGGGCTCCATGCTTGCCATGGTGTGGTGTCTGCAGGAGAGCAGAGTTGCAGCGGAAGCGGTGGATGACAACGGATGCCATGAGAATAGATATTTATACCTAACGACGAGAGGACCTGCAAGGTGGATTCATGGCACCAGGAGAGCAGAGTTGCAGCGGAAGCGGTGGTTGGATGACAACGGTTAGCAGTCCTACTGCACCGTCTGCTGAAAGCAGTATGGCGTCTGCACGGAAAAAAGGCGCGAAACAATTGTCTGCCGTTGCTTTCACGGAGGGAGGGGCGACTGATGACATGTACCCAAAACCACCCGCGACAATGTTTTTGCCCCATCAGGCATTGGGAGCTCAACCCAGAATTCCAGTGCACAGCGGAGACTGCGGGAACTGTGGGATAGCTACCCACAGTGCAACGCTCTGAAAGTCAATGCTAGCCACAATACTGTGGACGCACTCTGCCGACTTAATGCGCTTAGTGGGGACACACACACAATCGACTGTATAAAATCGCTTCCTAAAAATCAACTTCTATAAATTCAACCTAATTTCGTAGTGTAGACATGCCCTTAGAGAGCTCAATCCATTTAATTTATCAAAAAGATTAAGAACTGACTTGATTATGGTGTATAAGTACTTTTTGGAGGAGAAAATATTGGGTTCTAAAGAGTTCTTTAATATGGCGAAGAAAGGCATAACAACCACCAGTGGCTGAAAGCTGAAGCCAGACAAATTCAAATAAAAAATTACGCACAGATTTTTAACAGTGAGGGTCATTAACTATTGGAATAAACTCCCAAGGGAAGTGGTGGGTTTTCTATCTCTTGAAGTCTTCAGAACAAGATTATATGCCTATCTAGAAGATATTCTTTGGTCAAACAATTTATTGGGCACAATACAGGGGTAACTGAGTGAAATCCTATAGGATGTGTTATACAGGAGGCCAGACTAGCAGGGCTGGCTCCAGGCACCAGCCTAGCAAGCAGGTGCCTGGGACGGCCAATGAAGAGGGGGGCGGCACGTCCGGCCCTTTCAGCGGCAATTCGGCGGCGGGGCCGTCACTCCCTCTGGGAGCAAAGGACCTGCCGCCGAATTGCCGCCGTAGAATGAAGCAGCAGTAGAGCTGCCGCCGCAATCACGGCTTTTTTTTTTGCGCTGCTTGGGGCGGCAAAAATGCTAGAGTCGGCCCTGCAGACTAGATCTAATGCTCCAGTCTAGCCTTAAAATCTATTAATATCTAGTGCCTCTCCTGTTATTTTGTGTGTGTGTGTGCGTGCATGTGCATTGTTCACTCTCAGATTTCATCACATATTTGTTATCTTCTTGGTAGGTTCCACTGCCCTGCCAAGGAGCCCTCTCTGGACTACGATGTGATTCTTCCTTTAGATGACGATATCCAGCTGTCTGTGGCAGAATATCGGAATAAACTGTATGAGGTAGCTCCTCTTATTCTGCTTCCTATAACACTACTTGTCCAGATTACCTGCCACCCTTTCCATAAACATTCAATTTGTCTATCTCCTCCTCCCATTCACCTTTCACCCATCCCTAGTCCTGCACTTATACCTGACCTTGCTCATCACACTGTTCCATGCTGCTACACTTTGGGGGGGGAGAATAACTTGAAACCCACATTCTCAGTTGGAGAGAGAGATATGTGGAGAAGGAATGTCTGAGAGAGACTGAGGTTTGATGGTGGAAAGTAAATTAGACTTGAATTTGCAGTTCAATAGGATAGTAAAAATGCCAATGAAATTCTTGGCTGCATACAAAGAAATATGTCACAAAGCAATGAGATAAAGGGAAAGGAGGATCAGTGGTGGGATTCAGAGAGGGGCTGATAAGATCAGAATAGTGTCCAAAGAAGATGATCTTAGCAGAATTATATTGTATGGCCTAGAATGGGGTGATGTGGATGTTGGGAAGAGCAGAGAGAAGGATGACACCATAATCAAGACAAGAACATAAGATCAGTCATACTGGGTCAGACCAATGGTCCATCTAGCCCAGTATCCTGTTTTGTGACAATGGCCAATACCAGGTGCTTCAGAGGGAATGAAAGAACAGGGCAATCATTAAGTGATCCATCCCATCACCTATTCCCAACTTCTGGCAAACGGAGGCTAGGGGCACTTCAGAGCATGGTTTTGCATCCCTGCCCATCCTGGCTAATAGCCATTGATGGACCTATCCTCCATGAACTTATCTAGTTCTTTTCTGAACCCTGTTATAGTCTTGGCCTTCACAACATCCTCTGGCAAAGAGTTCCGCAGGTTGACTGTGCATTGTGTGAAGAAATACTTCCTTTCATTTGTTTTAAACCTGCTGCCTATTAATTTCATTGGTGACCCCTAGTTCTTGTGTTATGAGAAGGGCTAAATCAGTGGTTCTCAACCAGGGGTACATGTACCCCTGTGGGTATGCAGAGGTCTTCCAGGGGGTACATCAACTCATCTAGATATTTGCCTAGTTTTACAACACGTTACATTAAAAGCACTAGTGAAGTCAGTACAAACTAAAATTTCATACAGATAATTACTTGTTTATACTGCTCTATACACTTAAGTGCAAGTACAATATTTATATTCCAATTGATTTATTTTATAATTACATGGTAAAAATGAGAAAGTAAGAAATTTTTCAGTAATAGTGTGCTGTGACACTTTTTTGTATTTTTGTCTGATTTTGTAAGCAAGTAGTTTTTAAGTGAGGTGAAACTGGGGGTACACAAGACAAATCAGACTCTGGAAAGGGGTACAGTAGTCTGGAAAGGTTGAGAACGACTGGGCAAAATAACACTTCCTTGTTTACTTTCTTCACACCAGTCATGATTTTATACATCTCTATCATATCCCTCCTTAGTCATCTCTTTTTCCAAGCAGAAAAGTCCCAGTCTTGTTAATCTGTCCTCATATGGAAACTGTTCCATACCCCTAATAATTTTTGGGGCCCTTTCTGTACCTTTTGCAATTCCAATATATCTTTTTGAGATGTGGCGACCAGCTCTGCACACAGTATTCAAGATTAAATAACTATCTTGAGTAGTTTTGTATCCTCGACAAAGTTAGCCATCTCACTGTTTACCCCTTTTTCCAGATCATTTATGTATCAAGAAATTATGAGAGCCTGAATGAGACTTTTAGTTGCACAGATAAAAGAAAAATATTGACTTTAGACACCATTTGGATGATCAGGGTAAGGGAAGCATTTAAGAAAAACCTGCGTTACAACCTTGAGTGATAGGGAAGATAGTGGTTTTGTCAATGGTGATGGAGAATGGGAAAAATTAAGACGGCTTTGAAGGGAAAATAAGGAATCTGACTTTGTCCATGTTAAGTTTAAGTTCATAGTGAGACAGGCACAAAGAGACATTCAAAACAGGCTGAGGTCCAGGATAGGGTGGAAGAAGACTAGTCAGGAGTGTAGAGAAAGATTTATGAGTAATCAGTGCAGAGATGATGTTTGAAATAGTGTGAGTGAATTAAATTATCCAAAGGCAGAGTCTATAATGTTAAAGAGGAGGGAGGGTCCTGAGAAACTCTCATGGGTAGTGGGAGAAGAAGCAAACAAAAGAGACATTGAAGTAGTGGTCAGAGAAGTAGGAGAAGAACCAGGGTAGGAAGGTCAGTAAGGGTACAGTGTAAAAAAAGGAGAGTATGACAGTCAGCATTGAATACAGCAGAGAGGTCTAGGAGGATGAGTACGTGCCTTGAGTCTTGGCTGGGAAGAGGTCATTAGAGATGTTAATGAGAGGAGTTTCAGTGGAGCAGAGAGGTCAGTAGCTGGATTGGAGGGGATCTGGGATGGGCAGGAGAAGACGAATGTGTGAGGTAGCGGTTGTAGGTTGGACATTCATTGAGTTTAGAAGTGAGAGGGAGATGAGGGCAGTAGCTAGAGAGGCAAGGAGGGGGTGAGGATTTTTAAAATTATTATTTTTTAAAGAATGGAGATGATAAATCTTAAATTGTAAGGCAAAGGATTAGGCAGATGGTGAGAAGTAATGGAGGAGAGTAGGCAGGGAGTGTAAGGGCGATGGAGGTTAGGGGATGGGTTCACAGGAATGGCTGGAGGGGTTAGAGGTGAACAGGCAAGTGACCTAAAAAGTGGTTATATGGGAGAAGGGGATCATGACAAAGTTTGTCGATTTCCCTCTTCATCTCTCCCCCTGCCCATTGGAAAGATTCTGCATGAACAAGAGGAAGAATGGAAGGAGGGTTTGGCGTTAAGGAGAGAGTCAGACGTTGGAAGGAGTGGATTGTTACCCACACAATTTAGGGCTCTCCCCCTTCCCCCTCCCCCCCACTCTCTCTCTTGGGCACTCAGGAAGTAAGGGACCCAACTTTACATCCCTTCCCAGTGGACTCAGGGCTTTACATGTCTGCGGGACTTTTGCCTAATGAAAGATCCTTACACAGTAATATCCTTCTTTTGTTAATTTACCACTTTTCTCAAAATTGCTTTCCAGGCAGTTGCAAAGTATCAGTAGCTAAGTTACAAAATCAGTCAAGCTGTTTCCCAACATAATTTGTAACCCTTCTCCCTTTCCAGGTGTTTCCTTTCCTTTGGACATATTATCCGTAAATTAACTTGCGAACTACGACACAGGCACTTGTAGGGAGGTACCCCACCACACCGTCTTTTACCTCCTATTGCAATAGATAAACTGTTTGTACCATTCGTCTCCTTCCTCTCCACCAATCCTTGCTGGGGCCTCCAATTCTGTTACTGTGGTTCTAAAAACCCAAAGATCTTGGTAACTATTACTCTTGGTGAGGCAGTGGCAGGAAATAAATCAATGGAAACACGGCCATCCGACCAATAGGTGTCTGGCACAAACAGTACAATACAAGAGTGCTTTCACTTAAAGCTGCACTCTATTTTAGTCTTAAGCACTTACATATGTCTGCAACAGGTTAGTAAAACACCCCAAAAATCAGTAATTACCGAAGTCTGGAGTGGTTTTTGAGTGGTACAACCACAGCCGTCCAATTGGCCCATCTTTGAGCTGCCACTGGGGATCCTAAGCTGTGTCCATGAAGAGTCTAACTACCTCATACTTCCTCCCCTTATTTATTTGGGTTAGTGTAACAATAACATGTAAAAAAACGTGTTAAGCAAACAATTTCAAAGGTTAAGCAAGGAGTTTTCCTTAAACCATCTATTAGGTGTTGTTTTTTTTCAGAGTCCGCATGTTTTGAGGACCCTGACAAACACATCCCAAAGGGCAGATCTAGGTAAGCATCCTGTTTTTTCTAAAACACATACCTCAGCAGTTTCAACAGAGATCTTATCAGGAAGGTCACAGGGTCAGTTTCCTCCTCAATTTCCCCCCCCTCCCCGGCTGCTAGCTTAGTTATAGTAAAGCCATTGCAGAGGCCTGCTAAGACCTACTGATTTAGCTGCTTTTGGCAATGAGCATGATAATCAATATTCCAATTATCAGTAGTGGTCCAGGCATTTTGCTGGTCTGCCAAGAACTCTCCGTATGGGATGATTTGGTAAAGTGGGGTGAAGATTGAGACCAGGGTGGTGTGGCTGAGAAATCATGGATGATGATCAATTAGAGGTCACAGATGGCCCAGGCAGGGGCCAGGGGACAAATGGGTGACGTTGAATAAAATGACAGTTGGCAGAGAGGAAACTCTGGTATTGAAAGAGCAATGATTGGTGAAGATATGGTCAAATGAGGGGCCAATTTTGTGAGTGGGAGAGCTGGTCTCTTGTTGGAAATAAAATGAGGAGTTAGGCCTCTAAGGGATTGGATGGAACATCAGCATGGAAATTAGTCACCATGTATGAGGGTAGGGAAGAGTTTGATGAAAAGAAAGGGAGAGCCAGGTATCAAAATCAGAAAAGGGAGGTGGTTAGCAAGGAGTTGAGGTTGCAGATGACTATTGCATGGACTAGGAGAGGAGAGGAGTGTCTGGAGTGCTGCTCGAAAGAGTGGAGAGGAAGTGGAAGATGCATCACTTTGGCCATTTAAAATTAGACTGGACAAATCCCTGGAGAATGACTAAGAAACAACTTTGTGGTAGCCTTTCAGAGGATGGAGAAGATAACTAACAGTTGAGCCCTGTGAATTTGCAAATGCGAAATAACACAGAGTAAAACAAACTCACTCGGGAGTGACAGCTCCTGTAGATCCTGTCCTGCAGGGTTGGGGCTGGCTCCCCAATCATGCCCAGCTGCATGGGTTCACAGTTCCCCATAGGTTTGGCCCAGCTTCCACTCTCCCACCATCATCAATGCCAGGCAGGCTCGCTCTGCAAACCCCCTACCTCCCCAGGGGAAGGACCTGACCTGATGGGGTAGGGAAGGGATAAAACAAAATAAGAAATTCCTGAAAAATAAAATGCAAAATTATAAAAAATAAAAAGAATTTCAGAGGTTTTACTAATAGTTCTTTCCATCTCTAATTTCAGATTTATACAGCCTT